TAGGGCCTTTCTATATTAAGGTAACGGTATACAATGCAAGCGCTTGCAGGCATATCGAGCAAGGCAGCCACCACTACTAAATACAATTCGGCATTGTACACATACATATGTACATACAAAGGTAGAAAAGCAAACCTACAAGGAAACCGCGAACTAGTGAATCAAATTTCTAGTTCCGTACTAGATCTCTATTGCCAAAATCGAACCAGTCCAATAGTAACTAGATCTTCATTTGTTCACAATCGGCGAAATATTGTACTTTTAAAGAAACTATTTTATTTCACTTTTTTTCATAAGAAATCTATGTATATCTAAAGTGTCGAATTTAGAACTTGTTCGCAGCTAATGGAAAAGGGAAGCAGCGGGGAGCTTGATTACTTTAAAAAGATATCTGCTTGGCGGTATTTGCGTTCAAATGCGCTTTCATTCTGCACTTCGCGGATGCTTTTTCATAGTTTGGTAATACAAAACAAAAATTTGTGTTAACATTTTAACATCTTGCCATCGTCTGCAATCTAACCAATAACAGCGAGCACCTCTGCAAACTTAGCTTCAGCGAAAGGTATGTAAACGTACATTTCATAAAATTAGGCAAACAAATTTTAATTCAAATTGAAAACACATTCCTTTGAAAATACGTAATTTTAAATCGCACACACCGAAGAACCGAAAACATTGAAAAATTATGAAACTTTTTTCTTTCGTATGTCTATTCTAGAACTGGTTCGGATATATAGAATTTACTAGTCCGGACCTATCGAAATCGATGCAGCGTGGGGCAATTGACACTCCCTAGGACATCGCCATGTTAAATTCGCCAGTAGCTTGCATGCAAAAGACATTTATCGCGAACCAGTACTGGGTCTACATGTACTAGAAGCGCACCAGCTTAGAACTAGAGACTTTTCCAAAAGGGAAGTCGGCAATCGCATGTGAAATCAAGGCGGCTACACAAAAGCATATTCACACTTATACACACACACACACACACACACACACACTCAAACAGCAAACAAACAGTGCTCATACTTGCGTAAACATTTTTCAAGGACTTGATGCTAACAGGTGAACGTGATGGCGAAAACGACCCGACCTGCCGACGTTGTTGCTGCTGGCGGCTCTACCAACAATAACATCCACAAACAAAAACAGTTGAAGTTAGCAGCAATGGCGACGAGGACAACGGCGAGGACGACGTGGGCAACGAACAACGACATGTGAGCTATGGTGGCGACGTCAGCGACATTGATTTCGATTTTCAGATTAAAAAAAAGAAGCTAGCTACGAGTTCACAAAGAACACAACGGATATGACCAACAAAGTAAGATAAAGCCAAAAACGTAGTAGCTGAAACCTCATCTCTCAATTCAAAAGCAAAAACCAACAAATGCTTAGAGTCGTAGCATACTTCTAGGCGCTCTACTCCGAAAGAGCGCGCACTTTTATCCAGCGAGCCGAAAAAGTTTATCCGCTACGAGCAGAGATTAGTACAGGAAAAGAGCGATAAAGAGAGAGAGAGAAAATCTGAGCGCGCAAGCGATGATGTTCGAGCAAGGCCCTACTTGAAAAGGAATGTAAACAACAAATTCCTTTACAACACAAGCTAAAGCAGCTAAAGCGCACAAGGCATTTTGTCCGAAATGAGAGAAACGACGAGAACGCGCATTCCGAACTAAGCCAGTCGTCTGCAAGGACATTGAGCGAGAAATCGCGCCGAACTGGGCAAGCGGTCTGGTTCGGGATATTAGAACAGAAGGAAAACAAAACAGTAAATGTGAAAAAATATATAGCCGATACTGGCGACTGACTTCGTGACTGCGCGTAATGTGAGCGCACAACGTACGTGCAGAGAGAGCATACGCAGCTGCTTGCTTGCACGACTTGAGCAGCAGCAAGTATGCATCAGTTGCGTGACATTTAAAAGCATGTCCTAGACGCATCTCCAGCTCAGTAATTTGCAGAGTTTACGCCCGTAAGGACGGTAGAAAATATGCAAAGAACAATTTGAAAAAAATACCCGGGTAATATTAAAAAAAAAAAAATGTATGTTGAGCGCACGCTCTGAAACCCAACCGTGCTCCATTCTCAATCATACGCAAAAAAATAAAGCATAGTAAAACCGAAATTCAGAACGTAGTGCAAAATGTGGGTGCATAAAAATTTAAAGTGAAGTAAATAACTGGCTTAAAAGTAAGCACTTTTGTTGGGGCCGATAAGCAGCCGAGACGTATGCAGTGGAAATATTTGGCGTGATTGGAATTAAGCCAGCGAAGTGTCGCGAAACATAAAAATTAACTCAATGTTTTTGCGAAAGTTTACAAAAGAGTGTAAGGAAGTATTGTTCCGGTATCTATAAAATAGCCGGTGAAACTTTTTGCAGCGCCTGTCAACTTGGCTGGCACGCGTTAAAAAGTGTTGCCTACTTTCAGGCAAATGCATAAAAACTTGTGAACTGTTATTGGATTATACGGAAGTTTCAAAGTTCTGGAAGCTCCACTAAATTGTTCGCAAACTACCCAATGAGTGGGAAATTCGAAATTTTAAAGTAAATACATACAAAGACACACTGGAGATTTCAAGTGTAATGTGGACAAATTTTTCTTTATAAACAGTGCAAAGAAGCGTACGTACATACACATGTGAAATAAAACTTTCAGACAATTATCTGAGAACGAAGCATATATTTTAAATATTCCAGGTCCAAGGAACAGTTTATGGATATCCGCGAATTTATTTAAAAAAGGTAAGCAACAAAGAGACTTTAATTATCTTCCAAATGTATTAGATATCCTATTTTAAATGTTAGGCAATAATGAAGCAATGAATGAAATTTTAGAGTCATAAAACAATGAATGAACTTTTAGAATAATACAAAGTTAATAGCGCGAAAACTATTTTATTCAAAAAAGAATAGCAATTTCACTGCATTTCAAGCGCCATTTTATCTTCTGTGAAATCCAGAGCGCCTAACTGTATGCCACAATTTCGTATGGAGTTTCTAAAAATTTAACCTTATATTATGGCAGGAAGGTGCAGTGAAACAACATTTCAGCCCAAAAGTATGTTTAGCTATTTTGCAGAAATTAATTCTTAGCTCTAGTAAAATGAATTAAATATGAACTATCATGGGAAATGTTTGCAAGCGGCTAAGGCACATATTTACTATACTACCTAAAAATGTACAAAACCGATACTTCAATGAAAAAGTATTGACTGAATCCGGATGTAATAGCGTTTTACCACCATCGCCCGCTTTTTGTTATTGACGGCCACAAAAAATTAAAAAATAGTTTGATTTTTTATTTGTTTATTGTTTGTATTTTCGGCAGTAAACTTTCCTAAACCTCTTCAGTTTCATACCCGTATTGCAATATTTAATTTATCTTATCAATCAAATTAAATTAAAATTTTCAAACATGTGGCAACCTCCACAAAAATATTTTCAGCTGTAAGCCTTCCTCCTTCTTTCGACAGCCATATTGCAATATTTACTTTATTTTATCAATTTACGTAAACTGCAATTTTCAAACAGGTGGCAACTCTCTAGTTTTTTTTTGGTGAAAACTGCTTTCAATTTCATGCATTAGTTTGCGAGTGATGCGCGTACAAACATACAGCCAGACAGACAGACAGACAACAGTTCTAAAAATTGTTGATTTGGCTTCTACTTCACTAATAAAGACCCCTATATCAATTTTTCTCTAATATCTATAATGTATAGACATTGACCTGTTACAATTTAATTATATGTGTAGATTTTTTAGGTTTTGAAATGAGCTCTCTGTCTTCTGGTTTCTCCCAATTTCACTTACTTAAACCCTCTTATATATTTTTGAAAGTTGTATGGCCATAGTGGAATCAAGGACATCACTTAATATATGTACATATATATGTGCATAAGTATCAGCTCATCTCAGCTCTACTCCGACAGATCTCTCAGGTATCACTATACGCAAACATTGGGTTAAGAGGCGTGTTGTCAAGTCGTTTTTTTAGATACTTGAGTTCCTAAAAGTAGTTTATTATTATACATAATAAAATCGTAAGATTTGAAGCAAGTACTTAGTAGCTGTATAAGAAATTGTTCAAATAATAAATATTTAACATTCAGGTACACACTGGTTATGTTAGGTTGAGCGACACTCCTGCGTAGGACACACTTAGACTTAGGTTTCTTTGTGATATCGCATAAGGTTAACAGTTATCCCACGTTAGGCAGTTCCCCTGACTGTCGGTGGAAATGTAGATCTCATGGGTAGGAATCGTATTGCATGGCACCAGTAATATGACTCCACATCAGTTTCGCCTTAAGAGCACTGCTCAAGTCGGGGAGGCGGAAGCTTAAGATGTACCCAATTGTTCGAAATAAACCCCGCCCGAAACATTTTTGGCGAGTTTCTACCCATCATTGCAAACATAGATTTGGTCCTATCTTCCTGAGAATAACCAATAATCATTCTTCCCTTGATGGGAGACCTCATCGCGTGAACACCAGTATAGTATAGTATCCTCCAATTCAGGGTATTTTCTTTGAAAAACAAATAAAACATATGTATGAACGTATACCGATAAAAGGCGAACATATCGAGCTACATTCAAAACTCATTTTACTGGAATCCTGAGGAGCCTTTGATTGTCTAAATATTTCTTAAAATAAAAGAAATAAAAAATTATAGTTTAAAAAACTAAAACCTCGCTATTATAATTTCCATTCGTACTGTCATCACGTATGTAGCTTGAGAACAGAAATCGCTGCATCTTTTAGGCGCATCAATATTACATAGTTACATCCCGAGCTAATAAAAGGGAGGTAAAAATGGACAGGTATGTAATTATTAAATTCCATGCGCTATAAAACTGCATGCTTAAAAATGTTCAAAAAATTCAATCCTCCCAATCAATGTTGCCATTTTTTTCTTCAAAAAATTTTTTCAAACAAACTTTTTCACAAGAAAAATTTATTTTTGAAAATATGCCATCTCTAAAAATTAACCAAAATCACAATAGTAGCTCTGAGTGTTGCGCAATATTTAAGTATGGTATTTCCGGGTGCAATCTACAATATTTTGAGTTATGAATTTTGAAATAAGAACATTACAAATTTAAAATCTTTTTAATTTTTTAGAATTTTTTCGAGCATGCACTCAGTTTGCTCAACTTCGGTGTAAACAAAAATTCATAACTCAAATAATTGTAGAGTGGACCCCGTAATACTATACTTAAATATTGCCCAACACTCAGAGCTACCATTATGATTTTTTCAATTCATTTTGAGATGACATATTTTCAAAAACTAAATTTTTAACAAAAAATTTGTATGAGAAAAATTTTTCAAGGAACAAAAAATTTAAAAATATTTATTTTCAAAGAGAATTTTGATGTGTGTATGTATGATTTTTTTCCAATTTGTTGTTTGGAAGAGTATTAAGTTGATTTGTTTTCGCTTTTGTGCTGTAAAGTTTTTAAAAATGTATTAATCAAGCTCAAATTTCATATTTATTTATTATTCATGTTTTCCCATCAACCCAAAAATTTCAAACAAATCAAACATATGAAGAATTACGAAATTAGCAACAACTCTTAAGTAGTTAAACAGAAATAACTCTACTGGTAATACTGAACAGGGGCACAAATGTCGTTTTTCACAATACAGTGCTAAGTACTAAGGGTCTTCTGACAAATAACGCAACTGCGCCCGTGTCGGGTTGGCATTAGAGTGCAAAATTGCTAAGTTCTCTTTTAAAAATTTTACAAGAGAGGAAACAAATTGTTCAGCCATTTTCTTCAAGTATTTCAGAAAAAATCGATCAATATTAAAATATTTCTATTATTTTTGCCTTGTCGGATTCTCGGCGCCTGTTTTGGACTTAACAAAATTGCCTTTCGTGAAATATAAGTGAAAAAAAAATAAAACAAGTACCTTAATCTTTTTTGAAATGATGTATTTTTAATTATTCCAGCTTCCTTTCACCAAATCTGTGTTTTCCCAAAAAGTAGACTTAGTAACTTTTCATTCTAAGCTAGCGATATGGTTATTTATAAATCTAATCCGCTATGTTACTCAAAAACAGAAATTTTGAGTTGTGCCTTTATTGCAGAGGACCGTCGATATGTTCATATTTTTTAGGCAACTCAAACATTTTGCTGTAAAATTATTTATTTATTTGCTGAATATTGCGCAATGTTACTAACGCTTGAAATGCAGATAATTGTACTAAAAACAATTTTCAGTAAATATATTCAGTATTGCCCTATTCCTTTAGAAACTTACATCTTTCCTGCTAGCAAAATCCATGCGTTGCCATCTTGCACCGGAATTCAGATTTTCTCTTATTTTTAAAGCAGTTTAAGACATTTACTCTTTTGCTACTAAGTTAGCATTCTTTCAGGTTCTCCCGGTGGTATTAAATAGAAAAAATTGACTAGAGGAAATATTGCTTTTCATGGCACACTCGATCTGACCCTTTGCCAATTTCCGGTTGTCGAGCTGCACAAAATTCGTACACAGACTTAAAATATGTGTAAACATACGCAAGAACTAAGCATACATATGCATGTGTATGTATGTTTGTCCTTTTTCATAATACGCTATGCAACTCTATGAAAAATACAGTTTTGGGCAAAAGTAAAAAAACGCCGGAAAAATGAAAATAAGAAAATTATATAACAACCAAGGCAATCACTAAATCTTAGTTCAAAGCGCTATAAAGGAGCAATAGATTTCTCCAAAATATATCCGCACTTTCGCACACATCCATCCATACATACATATATACATGCAAGTACACACATGTTTTAGGCCGTTGGGACCGCTACAAACCGCTATCACTTAAGCGCCATACCACAGCATAGTTTGAGGTGCTTGGCAGAAAACTTAAAATTTTCGGCTGCCATAGTAGAAGCAATGTCGCATGGCACGATTTTAGCTTGGTAGGGTAGCCTAAATATATGCCTCTAAGATGTGTACGAACACGTATTTACTCATACATATATGAATTTATGTACATATTGTATGTATGTATGTATGAGGTAAGTGCTCACGTACAGTTCAAGGCTCCGAAATATTAGATACCTCCCGCTCTCAACTGCGCTCTATGGCAAAAACGTGACGTGTGTGACTGTGGCTTTTGTTAGTTGTTGACTGCCGACAATTTCGCACACTGCGGTCGCCTAGAGGCATGTCGACTACAAACGCGATTTCGCCTATTTACAAACTATGTTTTCTTTTAGGCATTCGTTTTTCTTTCACACTTTTCAATTGTTGGTATACATATGAAGTATGTATGCATATACATTAGGGCGGGTCAGTTTTTTTTTACGTATAGCATAGGAGCATTCTAGGTGTATTTCTAAGCAAATTTTCCGAAGAAGCCATGGGTCTTAAACCAATATAGAGTTTGCCAAATTGCTAAAATAGGTTTCTTAGCATTTTGCTGTAGTGTCGTAAAGAAAAAAGCTTTAAGTTTGCATAAAAGCATGCTACAAGGTGTTTTTGTGTATGAGGAGTTCATTTATGCACTTATATTTTTCTTAAAACTTCCACCAGAGGGCGCAACAGTGGCAATTTTTGCATTTTCTTCGAAAAATTTTTTCGCAAGTTCGCAAACTCCAAATTTAGTTTAGACCCATTCTTTCTTCAGCAAATTTGCTTAGAATTAAACGTAGACTACTTCTGTGCTAATATGCGCATAGTCGAAAAAATCGCTCATACAAATTGGCCGGCCCTAATATACACACATATGT